TAAAGTCGAACCGTGGATGTGGTCCATTCCCACCATCTTGGTCTTTATACCTTCAACTAGCTATAATCGCCACCGCATCTATCGTGCCTCTATCCATAGTGCCAAGTCTATTACTTCCTATGCTCTAGTCTCTTGTGTGCCAAAACACAAATGTTGTGGTTCTATTTGTTTTGATTCTGTTCAATGGGATCTTTAGCCTCAAGTAAGTCTACCATCCAGTTTGACAATCCTGATATTTAGGGGCCTTCTCAGAGAAGCGGAAGTATGCATGCCACTAAAGGCTTGAAACAATGTGGTAAATTACGCTTAGTGTAGTCCAGATAGGATTGCAGGGGCCGAGTGAAATACCTGAACCAGGAAGGTAGGCAAGAGGGAAACTCTGAGAAGACCTATGGGAAAAGGATTGATGAGTGAGGAGGTAAGATAGCCAGCGTAGGGTATGGAGAGTTCGCATGAAATCCACTTAAAAGGGCACATCATACCACATTAAAATACGGAATTAAGAGATTGTGATAGTGAAGGTATGATATGAGGATATAAGATTAGTGAATAGCCCAGAGCAGAAAAAAACCATAATTATTAGCAGAAAAATGGCCAATGGATCAGCTTCACATGTCTTTTTTACGAGTTGTGGTGTGGTGCTAAAAAAAAACAAGACTCACTAACGATGCCGGCGAAGCATTTGAGATTATACCACGTCCAGGGTCTGACTGGAGGCTCTCATGCATACTATAGACTCCGGACTAAGTGCGTTCCTCTAGATCTTCCTACCAATGTGACCAAGTTGCGAAAACAAGATTAAACAATCTATGTAAAAATAAATGGTTTTCCGATTATGACACAAGGACCATATCTTCCCAATGAAATCAGCAATTTCCATATGATTATATCTACTGATAGAGGACGCGAAAGAAAGGGGCCTTTATGTTGCACGACTTTAGGAGGTTGCTAATTGTCCCATATAATTATGTATAGCTTACAGAGAAAAAAATAAAGTAGAAAGAAATAATGGAAAAAGATTTACTCGATTCGGCAGCCCATAGTCAGTAGCCGGGTCGTAGCTAAAAAGTGCTCGCACAAACATGCTCTGCTTCGGTGCCGTAGTGAGTCGCATTAGTGAAGGGGGCAACTGGTTAGTATTATGTTCTGCAACAGTGATCGAAGGAGGATGTAAAGGTGCCGTAACTATAGGCTCAGATGCGGGTTTACAGGAACTTGAGTGAGTAGCGTCGTGGTCACAAATAGTCGAGTGGCTGTCAGATAGGTCAGTCAAATTGTTACTCGTAAGGACAAGATGTGTCGATGAATCCTCATGTGAGTTGTCGCCACAACTACGTCTATCGCTTATCGTGGTGACTACAGCTGTTTCATCAGCGGCCAAAGAAGGACCCATCTGGCAGAGCATGACTTGGGAAGCAATAGAGAGGCGTAGGTTAATACTTGAGTCTGATCTAGGTAGTCCCGGTTGAAGATATGAACTGGTGGTGGTCGATGTGGAACCGAGTGAAGACATGGGAGTTGGCCAAAAAGGCCAGGGGTGTAGCTAAGTATAAATTTAAAATGGTACAGAATGGATATTGGCAAATTTAATAAGCAATTAATATTTCTAAAATAAGTGCTGAATTATTATCGTCATAGTGCTTAAACGTATTGACAGCACCTCTAGTTCTCTTTAGACTAGTAGTTAAGCCCCGCGACAGTAAACCAGTATCGTCGACGGGCTGTTAAACAAGTGAAGTGTCTGTGAAGAGCTATATTTAGCTGTAAAATTGTTGGTGAAGAAATTATATGAGATAAATTAGACAGTATAATTTATAATAGTTGTATGAAAACGCTTGGCTTTTTATCCAGCATTAACAAAAGCTACATGTTTGATGATAAATGTAAAGATAACTAAATTCTTATTCAAAAGATATTCAGTCTCGTAGCCTAATTATACTATAACATTTAAAGCAGCATCCTTATGCTCTTGTCATATCAACTTTTGGGTACTATATCTGACAATAGGAATTCTCCAAATGAACTGACCGATGCTAGAACTGATCCAGAATTCTATGGCAGACGACGCAAGGCTATGTACGTTCCACAAGGCACCAAGATGTGCCCTCCGGTATAGCAAAATTCGAAGCAAAAAACACCGTCGTTGATACTCGATGACCAGATCTAACAAAAGGTTTCATAATTAAACAACTGACCTAACTAGCCTAACCACAAAAAGCTATTAAGTAATATGCCCTCTAACAAACATAAATTAGACAAATTCACATATGAATTTATATGTTGATGAAGAAAGTCATGCGAGATACACCTGACAAGTGGAACGGAGAGGAGCTATTGTGGGAGTAAAATTGTCGCGCTGCTAGATGGCTCTCGGAATAATCCAAAATAAGCTCCCTAGTGAGTTGACTCCTAATTTAATAGTATTCGAAATTAATTTTATGAAGATTCGCTGATTATTAAATAAGATATATTTTACTCTTATAAAGTCAACTTGGCAATACTTTAGATCAAATTCATCAGATAAGCTATTTTCCCGCGAGATTTGCTCGATAAGTGGGCTTATGTGAAAAAGATCAGGCCTGTTAGCAAATCGGAAAATGTTATGACTAGCCTCTTTATTTATATGAGAAAATTCAGTTCCAGATCAAAATGTATTCGAAATGAAGCTTTAGATATTTAAATAAATCGTTAGCAGGAGCGCTAGATACAAAGCGGCATCTTCATTCAAGCTTGACATAAGTAATCATATTAAATGCAATAATGGATATTACACCTCGCATAATAGCATATCACAACAGTCGTTCGAGGATATGCAATTCAGGATCAAGATGCACAAATGGGCCAATGTTTTCAGTAAGGATATCTTATTATTCTTGAATGTGCTTATATGAAGTTGCGACGCGAATGCTGCCTTGTCCTGAATATAGTTGCATATAGCAGATCAAAATAAGCCCAAGTTTACCTATCAAGGATGATCTACTGAGTGGGGCTAAGGTGGGGACGAATACCTTAGTCGCACAATGCATAACGAACAAAATTATAAGAGATTTTCACCATGCATATGGTAGCTTCGAGAAACGACTTATGAACGAAAAACAAGTTTTTACACACTTCTGTTCTAGCCGTTTTCTATGGGTTTCACTAGATTCTTGCTAGCTAATATCTGACATATGTGATACTTCCAGACAGCTTATCTAGCTTGTTGGATAAACTCCAAATTTAGTAAAAATGAAAAACAAAGAGCACAATAGTAAATAAAAATCTAGGTTATGAATAGATTGATCTACGAAGAAGTTAATAATTGATCCATGCTATCACAAGTAGTAAAGATATTAGCTCAAGACAAATTACCAAAATTTGTTTAAGATGCTTGTATATAAACATAAGCTTGATGAAGATTGTTAAGGCATAATATGCACATATGTGACCACACATGATCAAATCCAAGTCCTGATTCAGAACCTCAGATATGACTCTACAAATATGATAAGACAATAGCAAATTCACTTTTTATTACCCCCAACGACGTATCTACATCCATCAGAAATTTACTGCAAGTTTATATTTGATTTAGATGATAAGCTGATCTATATCCCTAACCAGTAAATAGACTACCACGAGCAAATATGATGAAGATACCTGGGCAGCCATAAGCCGTGTACCGATATAGTCCATCTAAGGAAAATTCGTAGATCCGAATTCGGGCACAGATAATCTCTCTCAGCACAGAAACTGTTATCCACCGGCTTTTATACATATTAAAGGGAAGGAGGACTAATAGAATATAACTATAATCAATGGCAGCATAATAGAGCACGTCTCCAACTAATCGCATCAATTGTATCCTTGGCTAAAAGATAAGGGCCGAATAACCAAAACATTTAGACTTAAAAAATAATGAAAACTTTGAATACTGGAGCTAGGGATATAGAATATGGTATATCAGACATAAAGGCATGAAATGTTTAAGTCACAAAAATAATTATTTCGAATAGATAAGGCCAAGTTATGTTGTCTATTTGGAAGATAAGCAAACTATTGTGATAACAATGG